GACAGACCAACTTAAGAAGCAGAAGCAAAAGAGAAGAGTCTCACAAATAATGGGGAGACAAAGAAATACACCCCACTCGAAGGGAAAGGAGCAATCCCCAGAAAGAGAACTAAATGAAATAGAGGCAAGTAAGCTATCAGATACTGAGTTCCAAGCAATGGTTCTAAGGAAGCTCAGTGAGCTCAGAGAGAATTACCAAAAACTACAGGGAAAGTACAAGAAACTTACTGCAAACTATATCAGCATGGAAAAGGACAAAGAAACGATCAATAAGGGACAAGAGGAAATGAAGAATACAATTTCTGAATTGAAGAACACAGTGGAAGGAATCAAAAGCAGGCTAGATGAAGCTGAGGACCGAATCAGCGAGCTGGAGGACAAGGTAGAAAACAGCTCCCAGAAAGAGCAAGAAAATGAAAAGACTCAAAAAGAATGGAGAGGCATTTAGGGAAATGCAGGACAACCTGAAACGAAATAATATCCGTATAATAGGGATACCAGAAGGAGAAGAGGATGAGGAAGGCATAGAGGACCTGTTTGAAAAAGTCATGATGGAAGACTTCCCTCATTGGAGGACAGAAAAAGTGACACAAGTCCAGGAAGCACAGATGGTCCCACTCAAGAGGAACCCAGTAAGGCCCACTCCCAAGACACACCATCATTAAAATGGCAAATAGCAAAGACAAACAGAGAATCCTAATGCAAGCAAGGGAGAAAGAGGCAGTAACATATAAGCGAGCCCCCATACGGCTAGCAGCTGACTTCTCAACAGAAACCCTGCAAGCCAGAAGGGACTGACAAGAAATATTCCAAGTCATGAAAAGCAAAGGCCTGCAACCAAGACTGCTTTGCCCAGCAAGGCTCTCAATGAAAATGGAAGGCGAAATAAGGAGTTTCCCAGACAAAAGAAAGCTAAAAGACTACACCTTCACCAAACCAGCACTGCAAAATATGCTAAAGGGACTGCTTTAAGACGAAGAAAAAGTTTCTATGAATACCCAGTTCCTTTCAGAGTTGCCAATACTTGACATTACCAATATTTTTAATACTCATTAATCTGATTGTGACAATGATGTTATTTTAATTCCTTTACTATTTTTGAAACTAAACCTGTTTTAGTATATTTCTTGCCTATTTCTATTTTTTTAAAAAAAGCTTTCAATGACTTTTTGGTGTTCTTTATCCATTTATTGATTAAAGGTTTGTAGAATTTTTTTCCTTTAAAGAAAAAAAAAATCCTATTAACCATGTTTTAGATGTGTCGCAAATACTTTTCTATTCCATTCCTTGTCCTTTAACTTTTTTCATATGTATATTACTATATAGCTATATGTTTAATATATTCATATTGTCCATATTTATAACTTCTGGGTTTGAATATTTTACTTCAGGTCATGAAAAATATTAGTTCTATTTTCTTCTAAAACTCCTTAGATTCTACATATTGATTTTTAACTCACCTGAATAGTTCTTGTATAATGTGTGAAATAGGGCTCTATATGTGTTTGATTTCAAGTAATAGTGGTCCATGCACCTTATTTGTTGAATAAGCCTTATTTTACCATTGATTTGAAATGTCAACTTAATCACATATTTTATTGCTGGACAGATATATACATTTGTCTCTAGAATGCTCATTATATTTCATTGATCTACTTGATTATTTCTGTGCAGGTGTCATGTTGGTTTAATGGCTGACACTTTATAACGGGTTTAAATTTTTTAATATTTTATAATTAACTTTGACATCTAAAAAAATAAATAAAATCAATCTGCATTGAAGAAAGAAAGAGAGAGAGAGATTGAACTCTTACCTTTTGCGACAACATGGGTGGAACTGGAGAATATGAAGCTAAGTGAAATAAGCCAGTTGATGAAAGACAAATACCATATGATCTCACCTATAAGTGGACTCTATTCAACAAAATAAACTAACGAGCAAAATAAACCACAGGCACGGAAACATGGAGCAGACTGAAAGTGCCCAGAGCAGAGGGGGAAAGAGGACAATGGTGGAAAGAAGGGGAAGGGACTAGACAAAGAACATGTTTGAATCACCCACAGACATAGACAACAGAGTGGGAATTGACTTTGGGAGTGGGAGGTGGGGATGGGATGGGTGGAGGGGGGTAAAAGGGTAAAAATTGAGACACTGTAATAGAATAAACATGATTTATAAATAAAAAAAATTTTTTAAATAAAACAAAGCAACAAATAAACAGACAAGAAAAACAAGCGAACAAAAATGCATAGACAGAGACAAAATGGTACGATGGTTACCAGGGGGCCTGGGGGTGGGGAAGTAGCAAAGGGTAAACAGAGTCAAACATGATGGAAGAAGACTTTAGTTTGGGTGGTGGGCACACAATGTAATATACAGATGACATATCATAGAATTATATACTTGAAATCTATATAGTCTTATGCATCAATGTCACCCCAATAAAATTAATTTTAAAAAGTGGGGGCAACATTAGCCTTAGGAGAATAAAAGGAAAGCATTTGCTGCCTGAGTCTGTCACTTTGCTGCTATTAACTTCTATGTAGTGAAACTGATTGTAGACTTCTTAAACTGATGATTTTGCTCTCAAAGTCTAAACTTAAGTATTTTTCAAAAAAATGTATTGACAGTAGAATTTATAAACTCAAATTTTCCTCTTATATGTTTTAGCAGTGCTTTTCTACCCATAGTAAGTTATATATTGAGTTATTTCTCTTGCAGTATAAAAACACCCAAAGAATTTGCCTTCCTTTTGAGTAGAGACTTTTTGCCTAAGAGATTAGGGTCATCAGGGTACCAGAATGTTTCAGTTTTAGCTTTAGGTGTACCACTAACTCTTTACTTTGTGAATTTAGTCATTAACCCTTCTCTACTTGGAGTCTAACTTTGTAAGGTAAATTATAATATTTGCAGTATCCATTTTGTAATGATTGTCTACAAATTAATAAAATAGTACGTGTAAGGTGTTTTGAACTTCACAGAGAAAAGGAATGTAGAGATCCAAGAATGACACTATTTATAGTGTTATTATCAAAGTGGATTATGTTGGTGCTATTTCATCATTAGAAATATTCCATGAGTTAAAAATTATCATTCAAGAGGAATCTCTTAAATGAACCTGATAAATAGAAGATATTTTATTTTGACTACAGCACACAAATGAACACTTCCTTTTCATGTTGTATTGTGTGGGATAGAAAAACAGATAATAATGCAAAAGCATACTCCCTCAACCAGGCAGCTGTGGGTTTTTCCTTGTTATGACTGAAGGATATCCTATATTCAGCAAATTTCCCTTCTCTGTTCCTCTCTTCCTCCCTTCTGCCGTCTCTCCATCCTTCCATGGAATCTGAGGTAAAGGTCCAGAAAATGTGCCCTCATTTGACATAACAGGGAGGGAATAGTGACTTTTTAAGGTTTTCTGTGGTTTCTCCTGGTGGGAAATAAAGATTTTGTAATTTGTATAAATGGGACTATGACTGGTTTCCTACATAGAAAATATTTCTGGCCAAATGGCCTATTTCTAAAATTCTAGCATACGCTCCCTTGTGTTATTGGTCTTTTAATTTATATATTTTCTCTCCCTATGACACCTCAAAATCCATCTAAGCAACTTTGTTCAGAGTTCCCAAATTCAAACACAGTGGTGAATGGTTACTAAATGTTGAAACAGTGAAAGGTAAGTCTTCTTATAGAGAAAGAAGCAGTAAATTTGGCTGACCCTGGGAAGGCTACCAAGTTCTCGATGCTGGTCATCAGCCATCCCTCATACTTCCCACAAAGGCACTTCTTCTGAGGTTACTTTTTATTGTTTAGTGCTTCCCACACTTGGTAATACTCCCAGATTTGCCATTTCCAGTTATGGGACCCAGTCTCTTCCTTCCAGAGGCTCACAGTCTAGTGGAAGCCAGTAAACATGTGATTATGATAAAGTATAAACTCAATTTTTCCCCTTGTGTGTTCTAGCAGTGTTTTTCTACCCATAATAAGTTATTTATTGAGTTCTTTCTCTTTCAGTGTAAAAAAATAAAAAACACAGATTTTGTGTTCCTTGATTGAAGAAAGCATAGATTGCTCAAGAACACAGCAAAAGACAACTGATATTTGGGGAGAGTAGTTGGTAAAAGAAGGGCTCCCTAAGACAGGTCATTCATGATGTAGTCAGGCAGAGAGAGGACAGAAATGAATGGCCATTTGGATGGCCATTGATGAAGTGTGAAACAGTATGGTTGGTACAAGGCCACGAGAGGAAAATAATTTGATGTGCTAGGAACAGAAAGTTTGCTGTGAAGATGGAAGACATACTTGTAGACAAGGACTGGGTCTCAGAGACAGACGTTCAAGACTAGGGCCAGAGTACTTCTCCAGGACATCCTTACGTCAGTAGACCTTATGCGATTTGCTGTCACATGCATACAGTGGAAGATAGCAAGCAGCCTTGGTATCTAGTCTTTCTAGGCCTGTTCAACCAAGACCCTAACATAGTTAGTGGTAGCCGAGCTAAAGCTATTGTTTTTATCTGCCTTGTCCCCAGAGGCCAGAGAACCCATCCCATCCCCATGGAATCTCCCATGGTTGTATAGGACATTGGTGGAGTTAATAACAAGAATGAATTAAATGGTTGGAATTTTAAACTCCGAGACAGCCTGGCAGGGGAGATCCTATTGGAAGCAGGTCTTTTAAGCCTCTCAAACGAGCCCTTCAACTTAGATCTTAAATGTGACTTTACTCCAGGCTCCCCATAGGACTGGTGCCTTAAAATGAGGATTAAGTATTTTAGTTTGTCACAAGGCTGAGAGCATCTCAGTTTCATGACTTGACTATTTCTTGTCATTATCAGCATAATGCAGTTGTGCCCAGTGTGTTCCCCTTCCATCAAGACAACAGTTCCTAGTTCTATTAGAAAAAGCGTGAGGGAGAAGTCTGAGGAGAGGGCTCTATTTCATATTAGAAACACTAGTGCTGATCATTGGTAATTTTCCAAATGTTTCCATCATAGTGTCAAAAACGCTATTTCGCTGCCTGGCACAAGCTGATTCTTGATCACAGGATTAAGCTGGGGAAAGCAGGGACCCTGTCCGACTGGAAGTTTCAGCTGAAGGTCCTGAGGGCCTGGAGAGACTACACACGATCTCAGAAGTTGGAGCGGGAGAAACAAGCCATGGAAAATGACCTTAGGGAAGAAAACAGGTACCATCATTTATACCATGAAAACCCCTTTAGCATGCTTATCTAGGACAACTTTCCTCCGGAAGAATCCAGAAATGAACTCTAAAAATGCTGTTCACTGAACATCTTGTCTACTTATAGAATGTGGTAGTCACTGTTTTCCTATGTTTCATCCCAAACTAGAAAAATTTAACTGAAAAGTATAAGCAAAAAAATTATTTGATTAAAATATACTAATGTGCATGCTTTTCTTTTTTTAAAGAAAGTGAGTATTATGCTTTTTCCCTTGTCCTCTGATGTAGTAGCATTACGCGTGGACCATCTTACAATTCAAAAGGCAGTTTGGTTTGTATGCCAGTAATTCACATTCATAGAAATCATTGTCTGCACATAGAATATTAATTAGGGATGCAGGGAACATCAATCTGAGAGGCAGACCTGCCAAGAGTGATTCCTCCCATTCCCCCATCTTTTGTTCCTCATCTTCTGTAGAGGTTTTGACACCTTTGTATCAGCTCCCTTATATTCTTGTAAATGACAGAATTTGTCTTCACATAAAACTTTCTTTGCTCCATCATCTTAATTAAATACATTTTGTTCTTTTCATTTTCAAATTTAACTTTGCATTCTTAAACCAAAGTCATACATTTAGAAGGAACCATTTATTTATCTGGGAGAGGGCAGTTCATGTTGTTCATGTTTATGTTTGCTCACTTCTTTACCAGCAACTCTGGTACTCATTCAGGGTGAAAAATTAAATGAATGGTATGTGGAAGCATGGTTATGTAGAAGAGAATGGCACCCCCTGGAGCTGTGCAGCCTGGTCACAGCTTTAGGCCCTGGGTCAACACTTAGGAGACTGATGGATGGCTCCTTGTCCTCCAAGAGCTCACCATTCTATGGGGAAAACAAGATCTAGAAACAATAGAGATAATTGAGTATCATTATAAACTGTGTGATGCATCCCCTTCAGATGAGACCTTAGCAGAAGAAAGGGTCGCTGTGACCAAGGAGGCTCCTACAGAGCGCCAGGAAAGGCTTTATCAAGAAAATGGGTCTTGAGCTGAGCTCTGCCCAATAAGTAGGATGTTCCTACTTGCAAATGGGGAGACAAGTTGAGGGGGGAGATAAGTTGAGAGCATGCAGTGGAGCCATCCAGACAGGCCGGAGATCATCAAGCACGTGGTTGTAAAAGTTCATCAACTTGCAAAAGGCCTTTTATGACAGGACTAGGAGTTTAGATATTCTTTTGTAAATAAAGATGAATTCTTGAAGGTTTTTTAAGCAGAAGGGTGACCTAGCCAATTTTGCTTTCTACAGTATGCTGAGAGAAATCTTCATTTAAAAAAAAAAAAGTCAACATGGAGAATTCCTTCATAATTTATTTCTAAATTCACAGGACCTAGTGATTGATATAAGGAATTAGGATGATAGTCTAACTGAAAAAGAAATGGCTGAAAAAGAATTTGTTGGATAAAGAAAGGAAAGTGGTGATGCTGTAAAAGGGAAGCAACATGAGTGAGGGCCTAAAGGCAGTATATACTGAGATGTTAAATTTCAAAGTGGCCTGTGAAATTTACATGCCAGAAGAAACTTGTAGAAAAAAAGTCTAAAGAACTAGATATGTCATTCCAATTAAACTGTTTTATATAAAAACACTAAATAGGGATTTCATAATAGCATAATGTGCCAATTTTTTTAAGATCTCAGAACTTTCTGTCTCATATCTGCGAATTATTTTCAGGTGTCTATTTTTAAATGTTCAGAATGGGTACTACATTTTTTAAAACTGTAAGAGATAGAAAATACTTAACTTATAATAATTTTTTACTGTAATACTTCAGAGCAAAAATACCTTAGAGCAGGAATGCACTAATCCAGCCCCTTGTTTTATAGACACTAGCTAAAGGCCATAGAGTTAAGAACAGCTAGTCCAGAACTGGACCCGGGCCTTTTTGATTCCGAGTCCAGTACTTTTCCCTGTACCACACAGCTCCTGTGTTAAGTAGCATCCAGGTGACAGTTCCTTAAGGCAACCATGTTTGTCAGTCAGCTATATTGTAATTTACTTTAGATGGTTTCAGAAAAGAGTGGTAATTAACAAATGACACGTCATGCTAAAAACATGAGAAGAAAGGATCAATTAGACATAAGCCCTACGTTATGCTGCTCTCTGCATCTTGTTCTTTGTTCTAGAAATTGGTTTAGGATATTAAGTTGGGAGATTTTGTTCAAAGAAGGTCAGGATATTAAAGGTGGAGAAAAAAGCTCAAAGGTAGTCGCTGCAAGCAGTGGGACTGTCAGTGGGCTTGAGGGTGTCAGGTAGTCCCATTTCCAGCATTCTTTTGAGCTATCATTTCTGTAGCGCTTTTGTTAATCGTGTTAGATTGCCCTTCCTCCTTGCTTACCTGGGTGTCCAGGTGAGAGGCCAGAAATGGAATGGCATTGGAAGCTGGTAGAATTCCTGATGTGTCTGTCAGAGAGGCAGGAGGACAAGACTTGCATTGTCTGGCTCACTTTAAAACTCTAAAACAGAATTGTGCTATCTTCTACTTTTTCTCTGAGGGCCGCCTGCTGCATTATTGAATACGTTAGCTTTTTTCACTCCTATTCCTGCATTTGCATCATTTTATGTTCTGCATCAGATCTCAGCACTCAATCAGATCACTAGTAGGCGGTTATTTATTTCTCATTTCTCACTTTTTAAAAATTCAAGACACTCTTTAGATAGTTAGAATTGTCCTAAGGTAGTATTTATTAACTTACATGAGAATGTGTTTTATATTTTCAGGTTCTTTTATTAAGGATTCCTGTAGGATAGGTAGTATAGGGCTTTTTGCGGGGAGGGTGGCAACATCATTTTGAGGAGGAATATGATGCTTAGAAACTTTTGGTCACTGCCCAGTGTCCCATACATAGTGACTGTTCTGACTTCTTTGTTCTATAATATGCACCAACCACTAAGTATCATTTGAGGTGTTGGTTCTAAGCATCATGGTTCATATTTAAATTTCTATTTAAACCTTTTTATATTTTATATTCTTTGGTCTTTAGAGACAGCCTTTCTCTGCATGCAGTTATATAATTTTGATGATCAATTTAGATACTCTTGCAGAAATCTCCTGACTTCCGGTTGGAAGCGTATCGGGACAGGATGTTTTCCATGCGGGAACTCTGCCCTTCATTTTATGATGATCTGGAAATCTGTGCCTGAGTCCATTTCTTTAGTTCAGCATACCTAAGCACATCACATTTGGTTGAGCTTTTAAGAAATTTAAGTGATTTTTCACTTTTAGCAATATTTGTTTTTTGGTGTCATCTTTTTAATTAAAAGCATAGAAATTGGCTTATCTGGAATATCATCACTCTGCTGAAGTAAACTGCAGGGGCGCAGTAGTAGCAGCAGCCTCATCTCTGGATCCCTGGCTTGAGTTTCTACCCTTCCACCTCCATGCAAAAACATAGGTTATTAAACAGATATTCAAGTAGCCTACATAACCTACATAATTATAGAGGGGGCTCTAAGCCCAATAGTGAACATGCATTTTTTTAACCTATTTTCTTACTGTTTAGTGTTTTTGTTATACTCACAACAATATTTTTCTCTTTGCCTTTTTATAGTGTCCTAATAATCTCTTCCCTGACAGTCAAAACCTCAGTATTGTTTTGACTGTTTATGCTGTAAAAACATGAAATGAACACATCAGGTAATACATACTCCTCTTTTCCAAGCAGATTGATATATATCGAATTTCACACTAATCAGAGCAGTGTACATCCTCCCTTCTGTGGAAATTTATGATTTTCACTTAATTAAGTAAAGTGTTACAGAGTTTGGGGGGCTTTGTGTTGCTACCTGATTTTTTATTCTTCTTTCCTCTAACATTTTGTTTTAGCGTTATTCAGTCTCAGATAATTTTCATCAAAGTAAAATAATATACAAATGTCTATTACTGCCTATGTTGTACTTTCATTACAAAAACCATCAGTCACCAAGTATTTATTAAATAACTATTATTAATTTATTAGAAAGAAGCAATTAAATATAATAAAAAATGCTGTTAGCAGAGTTGCTGGTAGTGTTTATCCTGAAATTCATTATCTATGTTGACTTTACTCTCATTAATTGGTTGTTTCATCCAACACTTCTGACATAGGTTAAAATCTGTGACTCTAGAGTAGTCTTTTTCAAACTAAGGGTTTTAACCCATTAGTGGGTCCTGAAATCAGGTTCAAGGCGAGCAGTTTTTTAAAGAAGCAGAACATATTAGAACAGAAATAACCAAGTTCATCTCTGGAAATAGGGTAAATCTTGTTTGACAAAACTTTTGTTTCGGTTACATATAGTTTTGGCTCATACATGCACACATGCACATGTAAACTTGCATAATGAGTCACAGTGTAACTTTTTTTCTTACTGTAAGTGGCAATTAAAAAGGTTTAAAAGTCACTTAAGTACTTAAGAACTGTAGAAATGTTCTTCTGACACATTCACTTAGGAACCTTGTGACTTTTTTTGTTATGACCCCAAAAAGTCCATGAGGAGAGTTAAGCATTATGTTTATTTAATAGAAATGGATATGCAAATAGTGGTATAGAGAACTTATTTGATTCTCCATTCCAAGATAAAATCAAGTAGGTATCTAAACAAAATATTAAGTTTTAAACTTCTAAACTGACCCATTTATGATGCAACATAAGTTCCAAGCTCTGAGCCTCACTCATTCAGGGACAGCAGTCATCCACATACAGACAGAGCTCAGAGAACTCTATGCTTGAATTCTCAGCTGGCCACTCCCAAAGTGCCTCCTAATGGAGATTCCCTTTGGGAAGGGAATGTAGCTGCCAGTTCCTAACTCCACTCAGCCATGTTCCCTAACGTTCATGAAGTTTCCAGGAATCAAAAGGAGCTCCTCTTCAGGAAGAGAATGAACTGCAATCCCTACTAGACTGTGAATGAGTTCCATGAGAGCAGGTGCCTGTCTCTGCCTTTCACATGTGTCTAGTGTTTAGCAGTTATCTTTACAAGGCAGTCCTTCGTTCACTTAGTTTTTGGGTCTATAAATGAGTCCTTCTTTTTAGGGAACCTTTCCCTGACAAAGTCCTCCTTTCCTGAGATCTACCTTCACAGTTTCATGTTGACTTTTATAAGTCTTTTTTTTTTTTTAAGATTTTATTTATTTATTTTTAGACAGAGGGGAAGGGAGGGAGAAAGAGAGGGACAGAACATTAATGTGTGGTTGCCTCTCGAGCGCCCCCTACTGGGGACCTGGTCTGCAACCCAGGCATGTGCCCTGACTGGGAATCGAACCTACGATCCTTTGGTTCACAGGCTGACACTCAATCCACTGAGCCATACCAGCCAGGGCGACTTTTATAAGTCTTATACTTAATTGTTGACAATTCACTTGTTTTGTTCCTCTCCTTTTCTTCCAAATTTTTTCTTCCTTAGATATCCAAGCAAAGCTTGGATGTCTTCCTCATGCATTCCTCTTTGAAAAAGTAGCTATTTATATACCTATTCTTTTTGTTCCTTCCTGTCCAAAAGCTCTCATAAACTTTTATGGTAATCAAAAAATGTAATATCTTTGCGACATGATAGAACAGAACAGTCACTCTTTCTTCTGAGGTAATGTGTTGAGGTGCCAATGCCTTTTATGAGCACACCCTTTCTACCAGGGAATTTTATAAAGTAATTCCGTTTAGCTTAAATAAAAGGATAATCTGGAGCTAAGTGGAACATTTCTGAAACTCTTTTGGACTTGTGTTCCACTTATATTACCAAGTAACAAGCTGTCAATGGCTTCTTTTTTTAATGGAAGTGCTTTGTTGCTTAGAAAACAACAACTGGCCACTGAATACAACAGGAAACAAGTTCTCCGGCACCACTTTACAGAATGGCAGCATTGGCACCGTGCAGGGATCCTAAAGAGAGAGCTGGCTCTAACAAAGGAGGAAACGAGGAAGAAAATGAATGAGTTGCTGAAGGCAGTATCACTAGGGAAACTCTGTGCAAATGAGTCATCAGGCATCAGTCTACTTGAGGAGGGAACAGCCACAGTGGAGCCACCTACAGGAGAGGTACGTTGTGTTTCTTATGCTGGGTCTTCCTGCTTATTAATCACTTGGTTTTGAGCTTTGCACTTGGGTAGCTTGGGCTGTGTTAGCCATTGTCCGATTGCCTTGCCTAGGATATCTAAAAACTGAGAACTGCTGTAATGCACAAAGGTTAACTTGCAGTCAATGTTCATTTTCTTGAACTGAATTTTTTTATAATCCTATATAAACTTTGGTGTAGCTGAAACTTAGTAGAAACATAACAGAGGGAATTTAAAACTACTAAGAGAAAGACTCCTTCAGGAACAGGTAATTGAAAGTGTTGTTTACATCACTTGAATTCTTATTTGATCATCAAATATTTCTTTCCTAAATGAGCCTTGTGACATATAAGAGGGGAATATGTAAGTGTTTATTTTTCTAGTGAGAAAAATAATATATATTAATTGTAGCAATTTTGTAGGAGAAAATTACAGAGAAAAAAGAAAAATAGTCTATAATTTCATCATTTGAGGATAACCACCAATAACATGTTGAAGTATAGCCACCTAGTCTTTTCTCTATTCAGGCATTTGCAAATTTTTCTCTTTGGCATTTTATTTAGCTTTAAAATTTTCTTCAGTCAAGTCATTGAGAGGCATTAGTCTGCCATAATACAGGAAAAGGAAGGCCATGTATCTTTCTTCTTAATAATAATATAATTTTTTAACATGAGAATTTTTTTTTATGTCAATAAATCTTCTACAATAGTAGTTCTCAACTGAGAGTACACTGCAGAGTCAGACCACTAAATCAGAGTCTCTGGGAGTGGAGCACCTGCATGTTTTTAAAGTTCCACAGGTGAACCTGATGATTACCCACTGGTTAAGGACTGCCATCCTGTGCCATCATATTGTAATGGCTGCATGATAGTCTTGTCATGAAGTATAAGGTAGAATCTGTTTACTTCCTTCTCTATTGCAGGACATTTAAGTTGTTTCCAGTTTACCACTATAGCAAACAAAGCTTCATTGATGATCCTTGTAGCTAAATCTTTGCACACATCCATAATGCTTTACTTTGGATAAATAACTAAAAATAGAATGCACATTTTAAAGACTATTACCAAATTGCCCTTCCAGAAAAATTGTACTAAAGAAGCATCTGTTTCCCTGCCTAATAACAAATTTTTCATTTTTACCAAGTTAACAGGTAAAATATTTTCATCTTATTTCTTAAACATTCACAGGTCTTTCCTAAATTACTATTGAGTTTAAACATTTTTTTACATTGGTCACATACATATATGTTGTATATGAAAATGGATATAGTAAGACAGATATGTAGTGACTTGTCTCTTCATGCCCTTTATCAATTTTTCTACTTGATTATGTATCTTTTTCTTATTTATTGGAGCTGTTTATATTTTTTAAAGTATCATTGCCTTTATTATATATTTTGCTAATTTTTTTTCATTCTGTCATTTGTCATTTTGGTTTATTTATGGTGTTGGGTACTATATACAGTTAAGTTTTTAATAAAGGCCATCCCATCAGGTTTTTTCTTTCATAATTGCATTTGTGTTTGAAAAGCCTTTCAGAGGAGGTCCTTTATTCTCTACCCCTGACCCCCTCCACCCTTCCACATAATGCTGTTAATACTTAACTCAGCTATGCGAAATTAAATTGGGCACCAGAGGGTCCCCGGCCTTGCATTTTATCCTGACTACTGCTAGGAAGTAGCTGTTTTTAATTTAAGCCTCGTCTCTCAGCAAAAGGGGATCATGAGGATGTTTATTGGGACTTACATAACATTTTGGTCCCTTCCCCTAGGCAATTTATCTACCTTTATGTCAGTCAGATAATTTTGTTTCCCCTGAGACCCAGGAAAGTCTTCTATCTTAGGAAATAGCTACGTGGAACCTTTTGCCTTACAAAGGTCCACTGTTAGTATCTTTAAATGAAAACAGAGTTCAGCAGAAAGTATTTTTTTTTTCTGGGTAAGACAGAAAGATTACTAAATATACATACATAATTTATACTCAAGAGAAAAGGTCTTCAAATCTCTGAAATCAAAAACAAAATATAACTATCAAGGAAGGATAATATTGTTAAAAAAAATAGAACAAACAAAAATAAAGGGTTATAATAGCCTGTGTACATTACTAGATAAACTCTAATCTTTTCTAAACTGTAGAGTCTAACATGAGCAAATGAAAATATAAAATATTTAGTTAGATGTTCATTAATTATACAACCATAGGAATTCATGTACCACAAACCCATATATTATACCTTGAAATTTTTAAGAATTATCAGTTAGCTAATAGGCGATTTGCTCTAATTAAGCAGACTATTCAGTTCTGTTCTATCAAGTACAATCCGTACCAGTAAGCTTTTCTTTCTTTCTCTTATTTTCACCTGAAAAGTTATCATGATCCAAAAGAAATCTTGTTGCTATTCTCAAGGCTTTTATAGTCTTGCTGGGTTAATAATGTATCATTACCACAAAGTTTAAAAGGGCCTAAAACATGTACCCCGCTTGATGCTAAATTGCTTAAGCAGGTGTTGTAATGAATAAATGTCCACTGACATTTCTGAAATAGAAGGTTATTTTTAAAAGTATTTAACATGTCAGAGCTTCCACACATCACAACTTTCACTTCAGCTAAATCTACAAAAATATTTCCATCATCATGAAAAATATCTTTGAGTACCCAAGCACGGCACCCTGTTAGAGCTAGAAGCTTCTAAGATATGTAAGATAGTTCACAGTATTTTTCTCCTTATACCACTGCAGATGGAAGAACCAAAAACTGGTTAGCCCTTAGACCATGGCATCATACCATTCTGGAAGAGACATTTTAACTATGACATTATTTTGGCCAATATAAATTTTTCTGACTAAAAATTCTATGCCTTTCCGTCTGTCCAGAACTTGAAACACCTCAGTCTGTTAAATGAGGTTCAATTATAAACATTGAAAACTATTAAGCCATATGCTAATACAAAATATTATTATGTAACATTATTCTTATGTAATGCAGATATTAGTCTGTTGATCCTGTGTTTGTCAGTATTTTCCACATATAAATTGTTTGGGAATAACTGGAGACTATAAATTTTAATACAGGCCTTAATCCTGAAATAAATACTATGTGATTAATTTACTGGTGGCAAGAGAGGCATTGAAAGAAATATTATTAAAGAGCTATTACTATTAAACGTCTATTATAAAGATCTATTATTGATTAGTAAAGGCTATTCCTTTTTTTAAATATATTTTATGGATTATGCTATTACAGTTGTTCCATTTTTTTTCTCCCTTTATTTCCCTCCACCCTGTACCCCTGTCTCACCACTATTCCCACCCCCTCTTAGTTCATGTCCATGGGTCGTACATATAAGTTCTTTGGCTTCTCCATTTCCTACACTATTCTTAACCTCCCCCTGCCTATTTTGTACCTACCATTTATGCTGCTTCTTCCCTGTACCTTTTCCCCCATGCTCCCGCCTTCCTGTCTCTGCTAATCTCCATTTCTGTGATTTTTTTCCTGTTCTAGTTGTTTGCCTAGTTTGTTTTTGTTTTTGTTTAGGTTCAGTTGTTGATAGTTGTGGTTTTGTTGTCATTTTACTATTCATAGTTTTTGATCTTCTTTTTCTTAGATAAGTCCCTTGAACATTTCATATAATAAGGGCTTGGTGATGATGGGCTTTAACGTGACCTTACCTGGGAAGCACTTTATCTGCCCTTCCATGCTAAATGATAGCTTTGCTGGAGAGAGTTATCTTGGATATAGGTCCTTCCCTTTCATGACTTTAAATACTGCTTGCCTGCCCCTTCTTACCTGCAAGGTTTCTTTTGAGAAATCAGCTGACAGTCTTATGGGAACTCCTTTGTAGGGAACTCTCTCCTCTCCTTATCTTTAATTTTGAGTAATATAATTATGATGTGTCTTGGTGTTTGCTTCCTTGGATCCAACTTCTTTGGGACTCTCTCAGTTTCCTGGATCTCCTGGAAGTCTATTTCCTTGGCCAGATTGGGGAAGTTCTCCTTCATTACTTTTTCAAATAAGTTTTCAATTTCTTGGTCTTCCTCATCTCCTCTGGCACCCCTATGATTCATATGATGGAATATTTAAAGTTGTCCCAGAGGTTCCTGAGCCTCTCCTCATTTATTTGAATTCTTGTTTCTTCATTCTGTTCTGATTGAGTGTTTATCTCTTCATTCTCCCAGTTGTTGATTTGAGTCCCGGTTTCCTTTCCCTTACTGTTGGTTTCTTGTATGTTTTTCTTTATTTCACTTTGCATAGCCTTCACTTTTTTCTCCATTTTGCGACCATACTCAACCATTTCTGTGAGCATCCTGATTACCATCTGCATCTGATAGATTGACCATCTGGTCATCACTTAGTTCTATTTTTGGAGCTTTGATCTGTTCTTTCATTTGGGCGATGTTTCTTTTTCTCAGTGTACCTGTTATGTTGGAAGGGGCAGAGTCCTAGGTATTCCTCAGGGCAACCCCCATCTCTGTGTTGTGACACTGTGTGTAGGGAAAGGGTCCGAGAGGGAACAGTGCCACTTGCCCGGCTCTCAGCTGGCTTTCAGTCACTTCCCTCGCTACCCACAAGCAAAATGGGGCCCTTCAGTAAATGCTATTCCTTAGTTTTCAAACATTCTTGAGAATATATCTTTTGCTACAAAATTTTCAGTTTTCTGCAAAATTCAGAGTTAGTTCATAAAGATTAAAATTCCTGTGATCTATGTATCTGTAGTATCTTGCCTAATTCACAAATGAGCTCTCCAAATTAGAAAATTGTAAGAGTACATATTTCATTGTCCTGGCCCATATCAGAGGTTCGTACAGCTATAGCCACTTTCCCACCCAGTTTTCCTGGCCAGCAGCAACGTGCATTCTCAGAGTGGCTCCTAGAGCTAAGGCTGGTGGCTTCTGAGATAGCCATGCCAGGAGCACAAGGCAGCTCTGGCTGGAGTGCTAGGCAGCTGTGCTGTTGAACAGAACAATGCTGATTAGATGAAGTTGGATCTGATCAGCACAGTCCTTTAAAGAACTGAGCTATATACCCCTTTCCTTTTCTCTCAGACGGCTGCCCTACCCCTTTTGTGGGAAAAGCCTCCTTCCGGGAGCAATGGTTGTATGCCTAGCCTCCACCTAGGAAAACCAACAGAGAGCGTCTTGCAAGTTTCCCTCAAGAATATTCCTCTGAACACATCTGACAACAAGCCACACAAAACCCTGGATGTTGAGCCCTCCCCACAGCCTGACAGCAATGAGAAGCTCAGAATCACCAGCCAGAAAGCAAAACCCATTTGCATGAGTCACTTCCACAACCGCCATGCCTTGCAGCAACAGCTGATTGAGAAGCAAAAGAAGAAACTTCAGGAACAGCACAAAACAATTCTGGAGCTGAAGGAAAGCCAGAGGCTGGCGAAGGCTCGGTGGGCAGCAGAGCGTGATGCAGCAGTCACAGATGCACAGAGCCGCCTGCTGTCAAACCCCAAAGCAGGAGAACCAAAAAGAACCTGCCAGGTGCTTTCAAAGTATGTCCATTGTATCAGAACACTCTCTGGACACATTATTTGGAGTTTTTCACTTTGTGGTAGATGGGCTCCTGAGCTTTGCCCAGCTTCCAGGCTCCATGGTCTCTCCTTTTCTTTTGCTGTACAGTCTCAGACCAAAAAAACCCACACATTGCAACTGGTCCATGACAGATACAAATAGGTATTTAAGGCAAGTGGCTGCCTATAAAGGTCCACTTACACAATTAGCATTTGCATTTTAGCTGCCTTTGTCTAAGGAGCTCTGGTAAAAGAGAAAAAAATTACTTGCTCTAACTTGATTCATGGGTTTCTGACTTTGGTTAGTGCTGAGGAGCCAGGTTAGACAATGTCAGGTCCAAATGGAGCAGTCCCTGGGAATGGCCAATTATCTAGCTTAAATTTATAGTTGTTTTGAATAAAAGTAAACATCTTGGAACATGGAATAAGAATTCAAGTTTGTTATAAACTATTTAAGATGGCTCAGACACACTTGAGACCTACTCAACACATGCAATAAATGGCGGGATAAGAACTGGGTGGCATCTATTGATCTGAAGCACTAGGATGAGCGTCAGAGGGCCTTACTCACACTGTAGACTTAGGGCAGGTACTCAACCTTTCCATGCCAGTATTTCCAGTGGGTATAAGAGTGCACAGTTATCTCAGAGAGGAAGGATTTATTAAAGTTTTTAAAATTATTTGAGTTCCTCAGGTGCAAAGGCTTTGAACGAAGCTGGTGACTGGTCTGAATTCTTTTCTTTTTTCCCCTCCAGTTCGCCTGCTTCCCCTGGGACTGAAGGTAGTAGAAGTAACTCCCAAAATTGTCTTTCTGGACCCAGAAGGAGCCCAAAGAAGCTGATGGCACCCCATCCCATACTTAAAGGCAGGGCTGTCTTGGTTTGGCCTTGGTGTTGGTCATCTTCCCTTGTGGAGTAGAATGTGCTGGGACGGAAATCTGACAACTCTTGGGTTTTGGGGCTTGGCAAAACCTGGTCAGTCTAAGAGGGGCGGACATGCGAGAAGTGGAAAAGCTCCAAGACTTTTTTCCTGCCTCTTCTGCCAAGCTTTTTGGCCTTTCTAGCCAATACCAAAAAATAATTGCTGAGAGGTGTATCATTTTCCTGTAACTTAAGATTTGTATTGTGATAAAAAAAATAATGGGACAAATACACACGTGAGAAAACACTGCGTAGCTGCTAAGAGGAAACATTGATAAAGATCACCTATCATTGTACTTTGTTAACATTAAAATATTGATAGGTTTACAGCAATTTATATCAGGTTAATACATCATTTGATAATGAGTTGTGCCTTGTTTATTATCCTTTAGTAATGAAATTTATAAACCACCTATTTTAATTTAATGAGATTTTTGATAACGTAGAGATCGTTATTTAAACCAAACAATACAATGAAAAGAAGGCATTCTTCAGAACCCACCTAATAAATCTGCTAATTGTCTTCACTATAGTCACACACTGTACATATGTCTGTATGTGGTGGTAGGCACTTTGACAATTGTGTTGAGTTTGGTAAATCTGATTTTTCTCCTGTGGCAAGATTGCTGCCCAAACAAGAACTGATGTCATCTGACTGATAACTGTACGTAAAGCTCATCCCCATTAATGAAGAAATTAGCAGTCTTTTCATTGACTCTGCCAGGACAGCAGTTTAGGCCATCTTTGTCCACCACTGAGGATAATCAGAAAATGCCCAGGCTGCTTTTCAAGTCATCCTTGCTGACCCGCTCCAGAAAGGGTGAGGAAAGGGCACAGTACCAGAGACTGCTTCTCAGGGCTCTCTCACTCTAACCCATTTCTGCCTCCGCAAAGGCAGCCTCACTCCCGCCATCTGTGGCTCCCCCACTATTCTTTTTCCAGCAAAGAGTACACTTAGTATCTACATGACATAGCCTGGTGAGTTGGGTTTTTTTAATTGATCTTTAAAACTTGGACTTAAATTTTCTCCCCCTGTAACATGGCACAAGAGACCAAAAGAAGCCATTGGCTGACTTAGGCGAGCAGAACTTGGTACTCCTCCCACCCCCGCTCCTCTTCCTGGGAGAGTTAGACCGATGGCAGTCATATCATCAGACTGTCTTGCACATTTGCTGCTTTTGGACCAATATTTAATAAATTGTTAAGAACAGGAGTCTGACACTCAAATTCATCCAAATGCCAGTTCTCCCAACGCTTAGTACGGTTCCATTTCCTGCCCATCTGGATATCTAGGCCTTAAAACTAAATTAAAATATATTCATCATGACCCTAAACTTTTGTTTGTGCTTGTTGATCTTACATATACAGCTATATGTATAGCAATTTAGGAAAAATTAGCAGACTCAATGGTATTTGAGGGGTAATTCTATTCTCAAAGTACTTGTTAGCTATAACTAAAGTTTTACACATTAACTAAAGGAATTATCCAATTAAAATTCTGGTTTCTGGGTTTCATATACTAAAAGTATCATCAAGGCACATTATATTATTTAAACCAGCAGTTATTTTAATTGAAATGTAAATAAAAACATAATCTGAAAACTGTTCATCATTTCTGAAGGAGGGATTATAGTCCTTTAACCTTTAGGGAATATATATACACACCTAAAATTTATATATTTATATTTTATATGTATTTTATACATATATATTTCTGTGATTATGAACACTTAATTTAAAAGAAAACCTTAATAACCCCAAAGTTTACTGTAAAATGGAAACATTCGTTTTGCAGTGTTCCTTATATTTTTGATATTGGAACTCTTCCTATTTTCTAGCCATGGAAGAGAGAGCAGCTCAGCGAGCTGAACGTAGGCGGATCTTGGCAGAGAAGAAGAAACAACAAGAAGAGGAGAAATTGGTAATAAGTCAAGAATGCAAACTGAGGCAAGAAAAAGGATTTGTATAGGTCTTTAATAAAAAAATTAAACCTAGCTTGTTTAAGCCTAGTGAGACAATAGTGTTAAACCAACTTTGGAAATGGCTTTTTGCCTACCAGCTTGAACTCTGTGACAACTTTAGGAAAATAAAGGGGGAAAAGCATGATGTCGATCATTAGTATGGCAGGAAATGTTACAAAAGTTGATGGGAACTAGCAAATTGGAAGATTTACACATAACCTAAACTATTGTGTTACAGGTAGACGTTCTACCTGACAAGTTTGCAAAGGTGGATAGTTCTTATCTTTTGAAGTTTTGACTTGGATTGTCAGACGTAAATTTTATGCCTACTAAGAAAAAACAGACAATACTAACAGGTTTGAGGGGTGTTATAGTTTGGACTTAATATATCACAGGTGAAAATAAGAACTAGAAAGCAATCCTTTTATGATTAAAAAAAAGTTAATGGTCTTATTCATATTTAGTCTCATCTTCTCAAGGAGAAGAGGATTCCTTGGAGAAACTTTCAAGTTAAACAACTGACCACCTGTTAATCAGGTTTTCTACTTTTATCACAAAGTGCAAAATTATTCCAGAGACAGGATGGATAATTTGGTAGATACTTAACTTTCTTCAGCCTCAACTTAAAAGGTCATATTTCCATACGAATTGAGGGTTCTGATTTTTATAAATTCTGGTCTTGATCAGGCCCAGTTAAAGGCCCAAGAGGAGGAGCGTCAGAAGAGGGAGGCAGAAGAAAAGGAGGCTCAGCTTGAGAAAAGACGAGAAGAGAAGAGACTGAAGAAAATGGTCAGTAGCATCTGTCCGATCAGTTGCCTGTCGCTTGAAGCTGGTTGTGTGCAGTGCCATGGCCCTGTGCACTTTCCCCACCCCAGAACTTCTGTCTAGAACACTCTTTTCTCACCACCATCCTTCTTCTCTATTTTGTGAAAACCTTCTCATTCTTTAGATCTTAGCTCGAGAAGACTTCTTCCAGGTTAGCCTTTCCTGTCCTGTCCCACCCTTCTCTCCACCCAAGGTTAAGTTAGGTCTCTTGCTGGCCTTTGAATATATTTCCTTCAAGGTATTACCAGGGCTTTAATTAGGCATTTATTCTGTTGTTTTATTTATGTCTGTACCTCCAACTAAGCTATAATCCCTGTAAGAGCAGAGGGAGCAGTCTGATGCTGCTTACTATTGTATTGGCTAGCAGTGTACTGAGCATAGTAGGGACTCAGCAAATGTGTTGAATGAGTGAATAAATGAGAAATGGAAGGAAATGCATACAGAAGAAATAAGAGGTAAAACTCTTTATTTTCAAGGTTCTTAAGTTCCAATTGGAAAGATAAGGCCTTAAAATACATACCTGTCAGAGATGGTTTAGCACAGCATATGCTGTTTTATGCAAAAGAGATCAATAGAGTCATGTGAGGTAAGATCCATAGAGATTTTGGAGACATTAGAGGCATTTTCATAGAAAAGACATTTGAATTGAAAATTCTATCAGGATTTTCCTATCCAGAGGAACAGAACCAGTAAGACATATATGCTATAGTAAGAGATGTATTATAAGTATTTGTAATGTAAAATGAATAATACTTAGATACCATGATATATATACATGTTAAATAATATGATGTATTTCACATGCTTATGAAAGCTGAGAAGTCCCACAATCTGCCACCCAGAAGCTGAAGGCCTAAGAAAGCCAGTGACATAATTCCAGTTCACAGGCAGGAGCAGACCAATGTCTCAGCTCAAGCAGGCAGGCAGGAAGCAAAAGGGGGCAAATTCTTCCTTCTCCTGCCTTATGGTCCTATACAGGCTCTTAAAAGATTGGATGATGCCCACGTACATTTGGGAGGTCAGTCTACTTTACTGAGTCCATGGATTCAAATGTTAATATCATCCACAAAGACCTTCACAGACACACCCAGAAATAACATTTCATCTGGGCACCCTGTGGCACAGGCAAGTTGACACATAAAATTAACCATCACAAGCCCACCCCATTGTTAATTTGGTATCCTTACACGTCTTAAACCAAACTAATCTTCAAATAAAAACAACAGTATCATAACTCTGTCTAACATGATACAGCTACCCTGGAAATGCACTAACCTCTGCCGTAAAAGAAGAGGTTAAAGTCTTTGAGTAATGTTTACTCTTCTCCTTGATATCCCATAACTGAAATACTATGATGTAAAATGAATAATACTTAGATACCATGATATATATACATGTTACATAGTAAGAGAATAAGAGAGGAAAGAAAACAAAGATATATAGCTATATATATAGATGTACACACACACACACAAATATATTCATAGCAAAACAAGAAAATACTCATGACAATTTCAGTCTTCATTTATGTAACCAGTAAAGTGGGTGTAGCTAGTATTTATAACTACCTTCTTCCACTACCCACTCTAGCCTCTTCCTTCAGCAAGCAACTCTGCTAGTTGCAGTTTTTTACCTGGCGAGGAGACCCCAAATTTCCAGTTCCGAAGGGTCTGGGCCATTTGTAGTCCCGTGTGGATTGAGTTTTTGTAGTTTTCAATTGACTTTAATCACAGGGCAAGGTAGTACTAAGATATACTCTAGCAGGGATGTCCAACCTTTTGGTGTCTCTGGGCCACACTGGAAAAAGGGTTGTCTTGGGCCACACATTAAGTACACAGACACTAATGAACACTGATGAGCAAAAAGGAAAAAAAATAGGTTTTAAGTAAATTTACGATTCTGTATTGGACCTCATTCATAGCCATCCCGGGCTGCATGCAGCCCACAGGCTGTGGGTCGGACATCCCTCCAAGGGGTCTCCTGCCTTCCAGAAATACTCTTCCTTACCTCTACTTGAAGTAGTAATCCAGTTTCCCTTAGTTAGGATCATTCACCCCAGCCAGCACCTTCTTTGCCTGCTGATTTAGAATCAAAAGGAGCCCAAAATGACTGGGTGACACTCTTAAATTCTAGTTCAGTGGAATGATTGTTGTGTCTCCTGGTAGAAGTATTTCCCCATTTGGAACCAAGCCCTCTAGACTAACACAGGACTTAAAGTCGTGGGAAAAGGAAGCAAAAATTTTGCTAGTGGGTCATTGGAGATAATCATGAATAGTCCCATTCCCACTTCCATCTCTTGATTCCTGGCCCCTATGGCTCCTAGCTATGGGAGAACAGTACCATATAATGGATGTAGATGCAAAGCATATACAGCCTTCTGGAGAACTTTACCCCAGATCTGCAAGGTATTGCCACCTAACTGGCACTGCAACTGAGTCTTCGAAAGACCATGCCACCATTCTGTCAAGCCAGCTGCTTCAGGAGGTTAGGGGACATGATAAGACCAGTAAGTTCCATGTGTATAGGCCCACTGCCATACTTCTTTCACTGTAAAGTAAGTTCTGTGATCAGAAGCCATGCTGTGTGGAACACCTTGACGGTGGATAAGCATTGTGTGAGTCCACGGGTGAGACCATGCAAGTCCATGGATAATAATTTGGGGAAAAGCATCATATAGAAGAAAAGTAAATCCATATCCAGGGGAAATATCTATTCCAGTAAGAGCAAAACACTGCCCCTTCGATGATGGAAACAAGTTTAATATAATCAGTCTGCCATCTGATAGCTGGATGGTCAACCCAGAAAATGGTGCCAAGTTGGAGACTCAGTCTTAATCTCTGCCGCTAGCTGTTTGGGCACTCAGGAGTGGCCATAGCCGGTCAGCCTTGGCGAGTGGAACTCTGTTGCTGAGCCCTTGTGTAACCTCCATCCCTGCCACCGCGGCCACTTTGTTTATGAGCCCATTGGGCAATGGTAGGAGTGGCTGGGGAAAGAGGCTGCCTGGATATCCCCTGAATGAGTCAGCTTGTCTGTGAGGCAGAAGCCATATACAGTGCACTATAATTCGTCCTTTGCTAAGTCAGCCTAAGAAATTTCTAGATACAGCTCAATTACCTCCCTTAAAAATGACATAAGAAGTTTTAAAGTAGCATTTCCCAATATATGTTCCATGTTATTTTAGTGGTTACTGATATCAAGTTGTTTCAAATTACCTTCATACCTTGTCAGATATAAGTTGATTGTATTCATGGGTCTATTTCTGGGCTCTCTATTCTGTTCTATTGATGTGTATGTATATTCCTTTAACAGTACCACACTGTCTTTGATTGCTGTAGCTTTATGGCAGATTTTGAATATAGAAAATGTGAATTCTACTTTATTCTTTTTCACAGTGTTTTGACTGTTCTTTTGTCATTCTATATAAATTTTAGAATAATCTTGTTGATAAGTACAAAAACCTTCCTAAAATTTTGTTTGTGATCATATTAAATTATAGATCAAATTGGAAGAATAGACATCTTAACAATATTGAAGCTTTATGAACATGGATATCTCCATTTATTTAGATCTTTGATTTGTTTCATGAGTGTCTTATAGATTTCCACTAACCTTATATATATATTTTGTTAGATTTATATCTAAGAACTTATTATTGTGGTGCTATTATAAATGATATTTTTTTAAATTTCAGATTTTGTTTACTTATTGCTAGTATGTAGGAACACAGTTTATTTTTGTATGTTGACCTTGTATCCTGCAACCTTGCTAAACTCAATTATTAGTTCTAGGAGGTTTTTGTGGATTCTTTGGAATTCTCCACATAAGCAACCATGTCTGCTAATGAAGGCAGTTTTATTTCTTTTTTTCTAATCTGTATTGCTTTTATTTATTTTTCTTGCCTTACTGCACTAGCTAGGTATAGCAGTGCAAGGCTGAGTAAGAGTAGTGGAAAAGATATCCTTGCCTTGCAGTCTCTCACCATTATTGTCATATATTTCATATGTGTAAGTCCATGTGAATATATATTCATATATGAATACACACACACACACACCCCCAGTACCTTGTAACTTTTATTACTTTCAATAGTTATAGATTAGTGTAATTAAAAATAAGCTTAAGATTATATTTTACCTTTATTTCTTCCATTTCTGATGCTCTTTATTTCTTTGCATAGATTTAAGTTTTTAACCTTTATCTTAATACTTCTGCCTGAAGAACTTTAACATTCCTTGTAGGGTAAATCTTTTGGTAGTGAATTCCTTTTAAAAACAACAACAACAACATATTTTCCCTCACCTAAGTATGTGTTTATTAATTTTAGAGAGAGAAGAAAGGAAAAGAGAGTGAAAAAAAAAAGCAAACCACTGATGTTAGAGAAATATCAATCAGTTGCCTCTTGTATGCGCCAAGACCAGGAATCAAACTTGCAGCCTAGGTCTGTGCCCTGACTGGGAATGAAACCTGCAACCTTTAGGAGTACGGGATGACACTCCAACCTATGGAGCCACCTGTCCTGGGCCTCTTTTGTTTTTGTTTGCCTGAGAAAGTCTTTATTTCTCCTTCATTTTTGAAGGGTATTTTTGCTCAATATAGAATTTTGGGTTGACAGTTTTTTCTTTCAACACTTTAAAGATCTCAGTTCATTGTCTTCTTGCTTGCCAGGTTTCTGACAAGAAAACCAAGAAGTTTGCTTTAATTCTTAGCTTTATTCCTTAGTGGTGTCAGTCTGCTCAGGCTGCCATAAAAGAATACCACAGAGTGGGTGGCTTAAATAACAAAAAATTTTCTCACAGTTCTGTAGGCTGTACATCTCAAATAAGAGTCCCAGCATGGTTAGTTTCTAGTGAGAGCTCTTTTTCTGGCTTGTAGTTGGCCACCTTCTCACTGTGTTCTCCAGTGGCATTTTCTCAGTGCATGCGCATAGAGAAATAGAGAGAGAGCATGTGAGCTCTCTGGTTTCT